GTGACACCAAAGTATCGAACCGAACCGAACCGTGAATTTTGTGTATCGTTGCACCCCTAATATATAGGTATACTATCATGCAGAACTAAAAGTCCAAGCATCTAGACTGCTCTGGCGTCTATTTACTGTTGTGCAAAAAACAGAAGGTGTAGACATTCCCAAAACTCTACATGTTAAGACCTATTACAAAAAGATTTAGTCCTTTATAGGTTCTAAAATTAATTAAAGAAAATCTCAGATGAACATCAATATGAATCAATATTTATTTGTCACAAACTAAGTGAAAAAGAAGGCGCTCTGTGGGAAAAACAAAGTAGGCCTACAGCCAGTTATTCAGTAGCCTGTAGCCTTTAGCAATAACTAAAAGGAATTGTTTTCCATGCAATTTTATCAGTTCCTCACATCGTTTTATAGTCATTTGTACCACTTTTCTTTGTGGGTGTTTATTTATGCACAGCTTTCTTAAGGTCCTGCCACAGCATTTTAGTCAGGTTGAGGTCTGAGCTTTGATTCGACTATTGCAACATCTTGGTTCTTTTCTTTCGTTTCCTTTGTAGAGTTGCTGCTGTGCTTGAGATTTTTGTCCTGTTGCAGTCTGAGTCAAGTTTTAGTTGTTGACAGATAACAGATCGCCTCACGTTTGACCCTCGAATGCTCTGGTATACAGAAGAGCTCGCGGTTGACTGCAAGATGCCCAGGTCCTGTGGCTGCAAAACAAGCCCAAATTTTCAGTCCTCCGCCACTGTGCTTGACAGTTAGTATGAGGTGTTTGTGCTGACTTGCTGTGTTTGCTTTTCACCAGATGTGAGAGTACTTTGTTTTTCATGTGGCTGCATATGTGGTAGAAAATAAAGAGAAGCATAAGAGGTCCTCTTTTAAGCACCCCCATGAGGCGTCTACAAGTAAATCAATTATATATGACAACAAAAAATAATGCTCATGATATCACATTGATGTCATCGAGGTTATTTATGCTGGGAATGTGGGGTTTAAGTGCAAACTGGGTAAATTGCATTTTGGGAAGTGTAGGATCCAGAGGTTTTGAAGCCATTCGTACCACAGGGCCTTTACAGCTTTGTGTCCTGCATCTGTCATTATTTATTGACATAGCTGATAAATATAAAAACATCTGTTAGTATAAAACATCCCTTTGTATTGCATTCTTGGGGTATTTTGGGGTACTGTTTATGTCTATATAAAGCAACTGCTCACACTGAAACTGTGTTGGCAGATTCAAGCACAACTGGCTGTGATTAATTACTCATCGACTGATCAGACTCAAAGGGGAATTTGTAGTTGCTTTGGTATTTATCCTTCTGACTTTTTCCTGATAACAGATTCTTTTAGAATTGCAGAAGGAGCCTGAGGTAACAGCATGAAGCCAGGATTCATCGCCTGCACAACGGTAATGCGGGAAAAGAAATGATCAGATTCATCTGCTTTATTAATTACATAATCTAAAATTTGCACATGTTGGCACAAACACAAACAAAGAAAAGGAAGGTGTATGTCCCAAAAGAGCTGGTGAAAAAAGTGGAAGGTTTACCAACTAAGTGCATCTGAGTTATTTTTTCACAATCTCGTGAAGAGTTCTTGGAGAGATCTCCAAGTTTGTGATGAGGTCAGTAAACGCCTAGAGTGTACTTGGAATAGACAGCCATCAGAGGGACTGATTATTCCCAAAAATGTGGAAAACTAACATGTGTAACAAACCTCTTGCACAAGAGTACATGTCTATTTTTCTTCCAGCATTAAAGAATTACAACATGACAGCACTGGACTGCAAGTACTAATCATTATCATTTCTAAATTACTTTGTAACAGCAATCTGGTCAAACAAAATAAGTTCATGCTAGGACTTCCTGGCTGCAGAACAAAATCCATTATGTTAGTGAAAGCAACAACAAGTCTCAGGGCACTTTAATGGAGTCGCACCCAAGCCTGGATAGGGAGTAAAAGTGCAATTTGAGAGTCAATAATGAAAACAATCTGATCATTTATAATCTATTTAGCATCGAGGATTTTCAGCAGCTGTTGTGTCCAATACTGTGGAATATCGCTGCAGCTCAGACAAGCTCGGCTGTGTGGAGCTGAGCTCCACTGGACTGGAAAAGAGTATTTCTGTAGAAGGGTGTCTCTGCCATTTGGCACAGGCTCCTCATTACCAGCAAAAATATAGTTAAGGATGAAAAGACCTGAACAAGGCCATCAGACTGGAGACCAGGTGTTTGCCTGATAGCACTGAGCAGCACTGTACCGATTGTTTTCACTGTGTCAAACTGTTCATCCATCAAGACTAACTTTTTAGTGAAAAAATAATAGAACACTGCTTTAAACTAATTACAATGGTGAAAGTTGTTTATCGCTAAGATTTGTGTGACACCACAATGACAGCGATTCTCATGCTAGAGCTCAGTGATTGATTTCATTAGAATCAGAATCAGAATCAGAATGGGGTTTATTGCCAAATGTTGAGCAGGTTTACAACATTAGGAAATTGCTGCGGTGCTTCGGTGCAAACATGGTGTCATAAATAACACTTAAATAGACATGAAAAAAATAAAAGTAGGGATAAGAATTAAAAGTGCTACGTGGAAAGATATGTGCATGAGATATACATGAGATATATACATGAGAGTAAGAATTAAGAGTGCTACGTTGAAAGATATATACATGAGTGCAGGTGGTGATCAGTGCCAAACATGGAACGATACAGTGAACACAGCGTAGGGTCATGTGTTAGTGGCGGGGACAGTCATATGGTTATTGTTCATGTGTCCAACAGCAGAGAGGAAGAAACTGTTCTTATGGCGAGAGGTTCTGGTGCGAATGGACCGGAGCCTCCTGCCTGAGGAGAGCAGGTCAAACAGACTGTGTCCAGGGTGAGAAGGCTCAGCTGAGATCCGAGCTGCACGCCGCAGTGTCCTGGAGGTGTACAGGTCCTGCAAAGATGGGAGTCTGCAGCCAATCACCTTTTCAGCAGAGCGCACAACACGCTGCAGTCTCTGTTTGTCCCTGATAGTGGCTCCAGCGTACCACACGGTGATGGAGGAGGTGAGGATGGACTCAATGATTGCAGTGTAGAACTGCATCATCGTCCGTGTTGGCAGGTTAGGGTTAGGGTTAGGGTTAACCCTAACGCCCACTCACATCCTGGGCCATCTGATCTCAGGAATTTGCATGATAAGGTGGGGCCAGGTTTCACAACGAACTCACCCGAAACTCTGGCTGATTGGGACCCACACCCAGTTTCACACCTTGGCTCAGGCGATTAGAGGATCATCAGGGGGTCCTTTTGTCCCTCTGTGGGGGGATACTCCCACTAGGTTTATATCTGGGACTCTCCACCATTTGACCTTAGAACTGAAGAAGCTTCTCGGATGAGAGGTGAAACGTCTTCAAGTAACTTAAAGAAGTCCAGACGCTTTTCTTTGCAAGCTCCTTTGACTACGTTGACCTGGATGACTGAGAACCTTCACAGACATACTATCTTCTGTTGTGTTTACATTTTTGATCAAACTGAAAAAGACCGTGAAATGCAGAATTAAATTATAACCAAGCTGCTTTTATCCTAAAGATCCTGGAGCAGCATGTTAACCCTCAGAGTACATCTTACTTGTGGTTCCCACTGTTTCTGGGAGCATAATGAGAGGCAGAACCAGGCTCCAGGTTTGGGTTTGGAAGGCAGACTCTCTCTGTTCTAACATTAGGCTTCAAAATTTCCTTCTATGGCTGGATCAGGTGACTCTGATCCATTGTTTGTGCTGCATTAGGCCCATTCTGCCTGTTCTTCGTCTCTTCTGTGTCTTCCCCTCCCGAGATCAACACCTCAGCTGTTCCTCGGCTCGTTCCATAAAAGTTTATCACCTTTTTCCCTACAACCTCCTCGCATGTTGAATCTGGGTCCCGTCTTAAACCGAACCCCCTGCCAGAGCACGCTTTTTTGTTTAGCGTAAGAAATGCATAAATGTTTTATGATTCAATCCATACAGGAGCAGAAAAATGTCCCGACATGAATGTAAAAACCCAGAATCCCTGCACCCAGTATCTTCAGAGTGCCAAGTGATTTATTCCACAGGGGCTGAACATGCATTCCACATCTGCACGCTGCACTCGAGACAAATAATCAAAATCATATGATGGACAAGACCATGAAATCAAAAAGGGAATGAGCAACGAAAACAAACAACTACCACTCTCAACTTGTAGTAATACCGCACATTGGCATCGAAACCTAAATCATTCTGCACTGCAGAAGTCTGTTCAAAGTTACGAAAAGATAATAATCAGCCACATAATCATTTTTGAAAATCTCATATAAAAGGTGAGTGAGAGGGTGATGCACAATACCCATGGAGAATAGCTGATTGGGAACCATTAGAGGGTGTACAACATTTTCAAATACAGCAGGGCTTGATGTGGACTTTGTTGCACTGTTAATCTACCCCAGTGTTCCTTCTACAGAACAGGGTGTTTGCATATAAATGTGCACAAACAGTTTAAAACACCTCTCCTCACCCAAAACAAAACAAAAAGAGAGAAAAAGCTCTCTCTACTTTCTGTTTTTGCAATGAGCTCTACTGACAAACTCCTAATGAATACAATGCATTCATCCTGGATGGATTCTGGTCACAGCCGTGGCGGCACAGCTGCTCAGAACTGTCAGGCTTACGGGGAGCAGACAGTGGCACACTCTTTTAGTTACAATTAGACACCCTTGCATCTGCTTGAGCTTTGTGAACTCTGCACTTCAACTCTAGAGCTGATAGTTGAGCAAAACATTGCTCGATTTACTTATTTCTACTCACAGTAATACAAAGAAAACATTTCAAGCCAAAGAAAATCTGCTCGGCTAATTATTTGGATGTGACTTTTAAACAGATGGAGATTCAACTCAGATTTGGTCAGAGTCTCTGTCAGACTTGATGGCGGCTTCTTGCTCCATTGTTTTCACGTGGACCATCTTATATGTTCTTTTCATGTCCCTCATCAGCGAGAGAGCTTCCTTATATTCTTGCTTACTGACACCGCTGCTGTGTAGGGCAGTGGCTGGACAGAAAACAGAGTGTTACTTAAAGAAAGAGGACTTTACAAATGAAATATGTTGACATTCAGTGCGTATAAGTAGGAAATGTGCATACCTAAAGGGACCACTTTTACTGTTTTACTCTCTCTGATTTCTTTGATCATGTCCTCTACCCTTTCAGTCAGCTGCTTCACAGGTTTCAGAGGTGGCAGCTCCTTAATCTGTGTGCAGTAATTAATAAAAACGTAGTTAAAGTCGCTCGGTTTATTGCAATTTACGAGCCTGCAAATGAAGTTTGCGTGGCTAAACATCAAACCCTTTTCTCTCGCTCCCTGTACGGCGTCTGGATGCTGTCGAGCTTTGGTTTCGAGTCCCTGTAAACATGGAGATTCTTCAGTGTGTGCTCCAGCATCCGAACAGCTGTTTGAATTCCTGCACAAAGAAAGGAAGAGAGAAAGAAAGCATCAGTATTCTCCACGGGCTCAGTGTATAGCCAAACTTTACTGGCTTTGAAACAATTGACAAAAAAACAAAATGGCTGCAGATGAAAATACATTCCTCCTTCCTCACCATTGAGCTTGAGCACACGAGGGTTCGGTTCGACATCCATCAAGAAATCAAACTGCTTTCTCTCCTTGCTGTCTGCAGTTTCTTTGTCTTCAGGAAGAAGACCAAATTCAAACTCAGGTCCATCTGCTGCCTGAGCATGAAATAACACTGACTACGTTAAAATGCTGCGGCATTAACTAACATTTAAAAAACTTGGTAAAATGATGGATTTTTATATCCTAATGAGGAAAACTACTGAAGAACATACCTGAGTAAGAAAGAAGGGTTTTCTTTTTTCATGGAAGGTGTGGTTTCTGCTGTTTTTGCCTTCATTTTTGCCAGCCTGGCTTTGTGGATTCAGCAGTATTAGCTTCTTTGACACCTTTGGTATTTTTTCATCCACCTCCAATATGAAAACATTGAAAACATAATGATTCATTCACTGAAATGGAACTTTACAGTGATTAATACAAAAAGCAAAAAGCTTGATAACACACACCAGACTTATTTTTATCCATTTCTGAGCAATCAATCATTAAGTTGGCCTTGAAGACCTTAGTGGATGCAAATCCACTTTTAATGGATTGTTAGCATGACCCCACTCTACGCCCTTACAGAGTTTTATCAGAATTCATAAAAAACGATCAAGTTTAGAGGCAAACGCTACCAAAAATATGACCATGTTGGAGTCAATCACACGTCCTTTCTGCAAAATCACTAAACCTACTAAACCTAAGACTCCAGCCTGGACATTGATACAGCAAAATTCAACGGATCGTGATCAAACACAAAAAAGTCCAACCTTCCATTTTGGTTCAGTGGACACTTTCAGCGGGCGCTTCACAACCTCCGGTGTTTTCTTCTGCTTTATTGTTATTCCAAGTCTCTCCTGCATGTAGGTTAGCAAGGGAGGGTCTCCTGTATTTAAACAAAGACATGATGAGGTTGTTTCTGAAGCCCCGAACACCTATTTTAAAATGATTCTTTACAGGAGGAATATTACCTCTCCTCCGCGTGGTTATGGGGTTGAACTGAATATCAATTTCACGAAGCATCGGGAAAAGAGTGGCAGCCATCAGTGCTTCCTCCTTAGCAACCTGATGAGAAACCACTGGTGTGTCACGCTACCTCGTTTCCCAAAAATAGTGGATTTATTTATAAAAAGCAGCAGCACACCTTGTTGTCAGCTAGGTTGAGGTACTGCAGCGCTGGAAGAGGTAAACTGGATTCTTTGCGGTTCTGCTCCCAGTTGTGTTTGCGAAAGATCTAGAGTGACCACGAGACACACAAGTTTAATGGGAGAATAACACCGAGCTACAGTGATGACACATCTAAAAGATCATGGACGAATTACCTCTGAGATTCTTGTCAAATACTGATCGGAAGGCTCCGAGTGAGCGAGTGCTGGATCGGGAGAGATATTTTTAAAGGAAATTTTGGACACACATGTAAATTACACAAAGCTGATGCCGAGTATTTACCCTCTTCCTCCTCTTCTTCAGTGGCAGTCTGCACAGGTTTGGAAAAACCCACCAGTTGCATGAACGGTATTTCAGAAATGCAGTTCCCCTGTAGGCTTAAATGCTTTAGCCTGTAATCAACAATTAAAAATGCTTAATGAGCGTTTCCACTAATTTGCTGTGCCTTGTGATAAAGGAGTCCATGTTAAGAAACACTTTTATTTAAAAGTGCAATTTCTCACTTGCACTGTGACGCACAAAGGCTGGCAATATGCATGCAGACTTTTTAAAAGTGCATTTATAATGAATATTTTGTATGCAAAAAGTCTTTACAGGAAAACTTACAGACCTCGTTAGGTTTTTAAGGCTGCTGAAGACTCCAGAGGTCAGTTCATTATCATCAAGCATCAGGACTTCTAGAGCTTGAAAGCATGTGTCTTCATCTTTAGCCGGCCTACACGTAAACGAAGAAATGCTAAATGTGTGTGATGATACAATTAAAGTGAAATAAGATTTTATGTATCTATTTTCATCAGTGACTTTGGTAAACCATTCAACCCCTCATTTACACAAATCAGCCAATCACAGGGCAGCAGCTCGCTGCCTCTAGCCATGTGGTCATGGTCAAGACAACCTGCTGAAGTTCAATACGAGCATCAGAATGTTTACAGAGGTTGACCTCAAAGAGAGAAAACATCCCTTGACTGGCAGGTCTCTGGGTGAAAGTGTTGTTGATGGTGGAGGTCAAAGGAGAATATCCAGACTGCTTCGAGCTGATAAGAAGGCAAGGGCAACTCAAATATCCACTCTTTACAACCAAGCTCCTGTGAGCTAAGAGCAGGAAAAAAGGGCTGTAAGTTAAACAAGTTCACCAAAACTGGACAATAGAAGACTGGAAAAAACATGAAAGCATTGATCCAACCTGCCTTGTATCAGTGGTTCAGGCAACTGCAGGTGGTGTAATGGGACATTTTCTTGGCACACTACCTTAGTCTAAATGTCACAGCCTACTTGAGTATTGCTGCAGAGCATTTTCATCCCTTTATGACCACAGTACCCATCTTGTGGTGGCTGTCTCCAACAGGATATGCCCTGTCTCCGTCTCCATCTGTACCATGGAGCTTTAAGGCAGTTCTGTAGTCAAAACACTGTCCAAACTGGTACTAGCAAGGTGTACCTAACAAAGTGGCCTGTGAGTGCAGGTTTACCGGATCAGAAGTGTGAATTTGGAGCATTTGTGCTCCCCCTTTTGGTGGGTTTGAAAACTACATTTGTGAATGTTTCAGGAATGAAATGTGTCATGAAATCATAACCAAGGTACTGGATAACTTCATGGATCATGATACTCATAACACTTAAAACATGCCGAGTTAACACAGATTTTCAAAGATAGCCATAAATTATTTCATCTTGGAATATTTTACTAATTATTTATGGGAGCTGGATTCAGCCAGTTTAATGACTACCACTATTGGATTTGTAAATCAGGCAGCTTTCTATACCTAAAGTTTGTTTTGTTGTCAGTCATTTAACACAAAGCAGGGCAGAACTGTGTGTGTATGTGTGTCTGTGTGTGTGTGAGGTGGGGATAGAAGACCAAGACTACACTCGCAAATTCTGTTTTTGCCCAGTACCAATGTGCACATACTTCTGAAGTTTATTCATTTGAAGCTTTTCAGTATAAACGTACATCAAAGTGGGCAGGAAAAACGAGCAAATTCATCATCTGAACTGATGGACGGCTAACGTCTCTTGATCGTGGATGAAGCGTGGTAAAAAATAGATTGCTATTTCAGGCACTTACAGCTGAGTGGGGTCTTGGTGTGAGGAGCCCAGATTAGGAGGGAGACGCTGAAGCTGATTTGCAGTTAGATGAAGGACCTTAAGACGTGTGAGCCAACCGAGAGAAACAATAGCATCAGGTGATAAGCAGTTGTAGGACAAATCCAGAACCTGCGAGGATTAAAATGCACTGTTCGGGTGAACTTAACCACATTCAAAAGAAGAAGGAGAGAAGAAGAAGAAGAAAAATGGCACACATTTAACTCTTCCTCTGAATGTCAGCATCTCTTTTGCACATTCACAGTTAAAAAGCACCGCCGAGTCATCTTACCTCGAGAAGAGGGAAGGCAGCAGCATCAAACATCAAGTCGCTAACCTCATTTAATGACAGGTTGAGTTCTCTTAGAGACACAAAACTACTGAAAGATCCTGCAGCAAAAACAATGGACAGCCTCTGATATGACTTCATGAAAGAGGCACACACAGCGATGCTAGAATGAAATCTGCAGGATAATGTATACATGCATATTCACCTAGAGAGAGGGAGTTAATAGATGCGTTGATGTAAGCCACGTTATCAAACACCTCGAGTTCTTCTGGTTTGACCTGTGACCCCCAGTATAAAGGAACTAATCACAAATGATTTTAACCAACAGGCTGATAAAGGTAAGTAAAAGTAGGAAAAGGTGGCTCTTACAGAGCTTAGTTTCTGCTCGCTGATGTCCAGAGAACAGAGCTCAGAGGGTCTGTCAACATGATGCAACTGGAGCTGAAAAAGAAAATAAAAAAATATCACTGTTTTTCTAACTTTTGTCAGATAAGCGTTTGTGTGTTGAATTCAAGGTTCATACCAGGAAAGCTCTGTCTAATGTGACTCCATGAGAAGTATCAGCCAGCTCGCTCTCACATTTTTTATAAGCTGCTTTTGTTCTCCTACGTTGATGCCTGTATTTTTGCTCCTCTGCCTCCCTGTAAGCTGCAAGCCAGTGCCCAGCACCTATAAAAGCAAAGATGGATGACTAAAACCAAGCCAGCAGGTGTTTTCACACAGGTAAACACTCTTCATTATTGGTTAGTCTCTTCATTCTGGATCTGTCAGTTCTTTTCTCACTGAGCAGTGCATCTGCTCACTAATGCAAATATCTTATGAACCAGTGACATGGCAACAACCCAGTATATTTTGGCTTAGACATGTCAAGATGACCTGCTGAAGTTTAAACTGAGGATCAGAAAGGTGATTTAAGTGGCATAATTGTTGATTCCAGGTGGGCTGGTCTGATTACGGATATGTGGGCATGTATGTTCAAAATTAAACTATGATTTTTGCCAACTATGATTTCTCTCAACTAATCCCACCTGTATACAGACAGACACATACAGTTTAATACAGTGTAGACAGCTCAGTAGACCAAGCACAAATATTATTTAGGGTATGGCCCAAATTCCATTCATAAAAGTGCCCTTTGGTACTGCTTGAACTTCTGGGCCCCTTTTGATAAATAATATTTACTTTGTACTGTACATAGCAGTAGCTCACATTACAGCATTTACAACATTAGAGTAACCAGCTAACTTGGTTTTGGTGCTGTTCGTTTTCACTATATTTATTTCACTAATATAAGCTAGTTACAACCTTGCTTTATTTCAACATACCGTCTCGTCTTCTGTGGTGTGAAGTCCCGGCAGGGAAACAATTTACAGGATAGCTCCGCCCTGCGTCAGCGGTGTAGGACTCTGAAGTCATCCTGACTGCAGCCTAATCCATTTATCACCACACTATGTCAAAAAACTGCTACAATGTGTTTGATCCCGAGCTTCAGTGTAGCTCTCTGTATCTTAGCAACAGCACGTAAGACGAGTACCGCTTCTCCCGTCCAGCAGGGGGCAGTAACATTTCTTTTCTAAGCTAAAGGCGGAAGAGACCGGTGAGTTTAGGTGTTCAAAGATTAACTAAAATGGCAAGATAATACTCCGCCGGGCCAACCTGAGGCATTCAAAGACATTAAAAAAGCACGTTTACAACCAGGAAATGCTTTATTTTGTGTATTGTTTGGCAAATAATTACTCTCGGAAGATTTTAAGCCTGACCTGTGTTTGTTTAAACCGGCTAGTTAGCTAGCTTCTGTGTAGGGCGTCCCTGCGGGGGAAGGCCGTTTTGGAGCGGCGTAGGTAGTGACAGCCATAACTGATATGTAGTCATTATTGCGGTAGTGCTAGTAAGAAAAACACAATCAAATACGAAGGTGGATATATTCATTTGCATAAAGTCGACGTTTAGTTTAGCTGAGAAGCGAACGCGGAAGGGAGCGTAAAAGTCTCTCTCGGTCTCAGGTACGGCTTCGTTTCTGATGAACCAACAGCATCAGTGTCGTGAACATCAGAGGTCTCTGGTTTCGCGTGCGATTATAGACGGTATGATGTTCAGACAAAGATCACGAGTGGGACCTGTGAAGAGCGATCAGTGAAGGTAAGGGCTTTGCTGTGCATGCACGGTGCGAGCTGTTTGTGGCAATGCAGCGGTCTGTGTTTATAGGGAGCTGCTGGAGTGTGAACTCTTCACCGAGTCTGTGCTTTGAAGGTTGTTATAACAAGACTATAAAAGAAGCTAAGGCTCTGTCATGCATTTTAGGACATTTTATTGCTCACAGGAGCTCTGATCCACCATGGGAAACACGTCGTCGAAGGGAGACAGCGGAGAAGAACCTCCTAAAACAACTTTGTTTGAAAGGGAGCCAAGTGGGATAACATACAGAATCCCTGCTCTCGTCTATCTGAGGCACTGTCACACCTTCCTCGCCTTTGCAGAGAAGAGATCCTCACCCTGTGACAATGACGCCAAAATTTTCGTTATGAGGAGAGGCACCCTGAAAGAGGATGGATCCATGCAGGTTACCATTGCCACATGATCACTTTGATTTTCATAGTTGAAGTTAACATGATTTGTTGTCCTCTTTTCAAATGTTGCCTTTGTCATGTTTCTGGGATTTTGTTTTTTTTCCAGTGGTCGTCCAGTCAGGAGCTGTCTTCGGTGTGCCTGCCCAACCACCGCACTATGAATCCTTGCCCGGTGTATGAAAAAAACACCAAAACGCTTTATTTGTTTTTCATCTGTGTGTGGGGCACAACCACGGAAGCGAAGCAGATCCTGACAGGTAAGAACAAGACTCGCCTTTGCTACGTCAGCAGCCGAGACGACGGCCAGACTTGGAGCCAAGTGACAGACTTAACTGACAGCGTGATCGGCGAGGCCATTCACAAGTGGGCCACGTTCGCCGTGGGCCCCGGCCACGGTGTTCAGCTTGAGAACGGCCGACTGATCATCCCTGCGTACGCCTACTACATTCCTTACAGATGCTGCTCCTTCCCCATCCCTTGCACAGTCTACCCACGTGCAATGTCAGTATATAGCGAGGACTTTGGACAGACGTGGCACATAGGTAAGATGCTGCGGAAGAAGTCGTGCGAATGTGAAATGGCCGAGATCATAGACCACGAGGGCAGGAGCCACCTCTACTGCAATGCTCGTAATGCCGGGGGCCACAGGTGTGAGGCTCTCAGTGAAAACAGCGGCGTCTACTTCGACAAGCCCCACATGGCCCCGGAGCTGGTGGAAACGCGCTACGGATGTCAGGGAAGCATCATCGGCTTTCCCGCGCCGGAATTTGTCCCAAACGACGACGCGGAAAGCAAAGCCTGCGGCACGTCGCTCCTGTCACCAGACACGCAAACCTGGCTCCTCTTCATGCACCCGACGAGCAAGTCCAGAAGAAGGGACATGGGTGTGTATTTGAACCGATCCCCCCTGCACTCATCCGGATGGGACAGACCCAGGATCATCCACAGGGGGCCCAGCGGCTACTCGGACCTGGCTTACAACGGGGACAAGGATCAGTTTTCGTGCCTGATGGAGTGCGGGAAAGAGAGTGAACTCGAGCAGATTGCCTTCGTGTCGTTCTCCCTTAATGATGTCATGCAGACAGGCGGCAGGAAAGAAAAGCGTTGAGCGGTCTAACTGTGGTCGCTTTTATTTCTGTGTTAGCAAACGAAGCTCTCTGACATTCCCCCACAGCCTAAAAACAAAAAAAGGAAAAAAAATAGAGAGAAAAACAAAACAAAAAGCCACTAAATATGCTGTGCAGTAACATCCGTCTGTGTTTACTATTGTTCCACATTCTGGAGATGATAATGCATGCATGAGTCGTGTGTTTCACTGTCTCCTTGTTTACATAAGAAAAAAAGTTATTATAAGATTAAATATTATTAATATGCAACAAGCTGCATAAGGAAGAACACTATTCTGAATAGGCTAGGTGGTTTGTTTCAGGCATGCTGTGCTGGACTGTCACTTAGGGGGAAAAAACTGGCTTTGCGTGTAGCATGTTTGATAAGCACTTCATCCCCGTTTGCATCTTATTAAACTGCCAGTGTTTTCTGAGCAGCAGAGACAATTTGCCTACCTCTTTTTATTTTCATACGAAGATCATAGCAGGCCTTGGAAAGAGTTTCCTCCATGCTCAGTCTCTCCTTTTTTACACGTCATGTGCTCTGATTCACGTATGCCTTCTCCACTGTTTGGAACGTGGCCTGTCAGTGCTTTTTCCCCCCCTGCAGGGTCACAGTCGGTGCCATAAAGGTGGCAATAAAACTGGAGGGAAAAGATGCATCCAGCTGACCAACTTCATCTAAGTTTTTCTTGGTTGTTTGTTTTTAAAACATGTGATAGATTAAGGCTACTTTTTACCGCACACATATTTTTTTATGGCATTAATTTTCAAAAGCAATACAGCACTCCGTTATTGTTGATTTCCGGCGCATTGAGCATGACTTTCTTTTCCCAGCGTAAAGTGCGTTGCTATGACCAGATACAACTGGCTCGCTATTGGTTCGCTAATGACGGCATGTGACATCAGATGAGGACTCGCTATTTATGAAGCCACTAGGAATTTGCACATGCGGAATATTGTACCGTGTGACTTTAATGTCCCTCTTTGCCTGTTGTTGTGCGGCAGACAAGAAAAAAACATTTAAAATAAGAAGCCCCGAGGTGGCATTAGTTTAGTTGTGTTTCTGTTGTGGAAAGTGACAAAAAAACCCTGCATGAAACGTGTATTTTAGTAAAATAAAGGTAACCTGTGATCACCTGGCTTCCTTTTTTTCCCTCTTTTTTTCCTTGTGACAATGTAAAGTAATTGAAGAGCTTGTAAAAGCTGACTCAGAGCAGGAAAAGTAAAAGAGATGGTTGTGTGCGTGTTTTTGTTTTGTTCTGTTTTGTTTTTTTTAAGCAGTTTTAAAAAACACTTCAGATGCATTCCCATGGCAGCAAACAGAGGCTGAAGGGCTCCAGCTCGCTGAAATGATGTCGAGGACTTCTGTTGTGAAGCGGCCTGTGGGGAGTTTAATGTGATTCAGCAGATGTGCAAACAGAGGGGGAGGAATTAAGGACAAGCGGGAGCTCTTTATTTCCCCCTCCAGTCTCCCAACTTTCCTAAGTAATACATTTCTACTAATATGGGAGTTTCTGATATCTATCTATATA